AAAATAATAATAAGTCCTAGGAGTGGGGCAGAATTAGTTCATTGAGTCCCACTTGTTGCTACTTGTCAGTAAAATAGTAAACTAAAAATGCTGGCAGTCCCTTTCTTTCCTTTTAAAGCCAAGCACCACTTTGGTCATTGTTAAACAAAGGATGACAGGCCATTGCTTGGTTTCTTCAGTACGTCATGGAATTGACATTCAATCAAGCTGCTAAGGGGGTCAACAAGGAGTTCACTGTGAACATCATGGATACCTGTGAGCGCTGTGATGGCAAGGGGAATGAACCTGGCACCAAAGTACAGCATTGCCACTACTGCGGCGGCTCTGGCATGGTAAGGATGCAGCAAAAACTCCTCCCTGGCAACTCTCATTGCTCCCACCTACACTGCTCCACACCATTCCTTTGTTCTTTGCTCCTCTGTTTTTTTGTTTTGAGATAGAGTCTTGCTCTGTTACCCAGGCTAGAGTGCAGTGGCATCATCATAGCTCACTGTAGCCTCAAACTCCTAGACTCAAGGGATCTTCCTGTCTCAGCCTTTCAAGTAGCTGGACCTACAGGTGCCCACCTCTACACCCAGCTAATTTTTCTATATTTATTTATTTATTTATTTATTTTGAGGCAGAATTTCACTATGTTGCCCTCGATAGAGTGCAGTGGCTTCACAGCTAACAGCAATCTCTTGGGCTTAAGTGATTTTCTTGCCTCAGCCTCCCAAGTAGCTGGGACTATAGGCTCCTGCCACAATGCCGGCCTGTTTTTTGGTTATAGTTGTCGTTGTTTGGGACACCTGGGCTGGATTCGAACCCACCGGCTCCAGTGTATGTGGCTGGTGTCCTAGCCACTGAGCTATAGGCGCTGAGCCTCAGCTGTTTTTTTGTTATAGTTGTCATTGTTGTTTAGCAGGCCGGGGCCAGGTTTAAACCCCATCTGCCTGCATGTACGGTGGCTGGTGCCCTAACCATTGTGTTATGGGTGCCTAGCCAATTTTTCTGTTTTTAGTAGAGATGGGGTCTTGCTCTTGCTCAGGCTGGTCTCAAACTCCTGAAGTCAAGCAGTCCTCCTGCCGTGGCCTTCCAGAGTGCTAGGATTACAGGTGTAAGTTACCACATCCTATGGATATGTCATTCAAGCACTCCCAGAGTTTTGAGAGTTTACAACTAGTTGAGACTATTTTATAAGCTTCTGCACCACTTTTTCACACGTGCTCTGTCCTGGTCAGCAACACAGAGCAAGCATGCAAACTCTGTTGTCCTCTCCAAAAACATACTTTGGGATATTTTGGTAATTTGAAGGTGGGGAAACGATTGAATTTTTGTTCCAAGTCTAATTATTTTTTTCTTTTTCTTTCTTTCTTTTTTCGAAAAATTAAATCTCTTTCTTTTTTTTTTTTTTTTT